TGTAGTTAAAACATTTTTATAGTAACACATCTGTTCACTTGAGATTCTGGAGGAAATGCAAATCCACTAAAATCAGCTTTACTACGCAGAGATAACATTAAAGAAAAATATCTGATTGGCAAAAGCAACCATCAGCTGCATTCAACTCAACAGCGCTGACCTAGTCTGCAAACATTGTGTCACTCCAAACATGTTTCAATTTCTTCATCTTAGGAAATTTGCAACAAAAAGCCAAAGCCATTTTCATCAGACATGTAGACAGCAGCATGAATCTGCGTGTCTGAGCTGACACATCTGTAGAAGTTGCCACAGCTTGCGTTTGCAGCAGAGGTGCTAAGTAAATTATATACCAAAAGCAACACTGCCACAACCGTCACAACAACACCAGTTGCCACCGAAGACTAATTATAATCAATAATAAACCATTTCGCTTTTGTTTGAGTAACATATAATAATAGTAATTAGTCACGCACACAGCAATTTCCTGTCCTATGTTTATGATGAAAACTAGCAAACCTTTCCTTCAAAGAAACATGAGAGTTGAAACTGAAATATTTGTACAATAGGATGTAAAACATGTCGATGAATAGTGGCATAAAATATCGCATCAGCTAGAAATGATATTGGGATTGAATACAAAACGCGCCCAAAGCGAGCCAGTTAAGACTCGTATGTTTCTTAGAATATTTGGAAAAATATGCCCTGGACTTGTTACCTCATGAGAGAAAACCGTTGTTTCGTCGATCTGACATATTAGCTTGGGATCAAAGAAGATTATTGCGGGCGATCAGTGAATTTTCTGTTTTTCGGCTTAAAAGCACGCATTCACAACAAAATTTGATGTGGAAGGCATAGTATCAAACAAAAATAAACGAAAGTTGAAGTCTTTGCGATCATTAAGAACAACTGAAATATCCCACTTTTCGATTTTCGAGCATTTTTCCACGATGACAAATGATTTTGGGGGAATCGTGCACATGAAAGTTCATGTCAGCTGTACCTAGAACTAAGCTTGACGACTCACGCGAACAGGTAAATTTTAAAATTTGAACATACAGCTGAACGTAAATTTCAAAAGTTGACTATTAATCGACTTTACAATTGCAATATTATCGGCTTTCAGAGTTCGCGTAAAAGAAAAGGTTAAGAAATACAGTGGCGAATTGAGCAACATTTTCAAAGATCGGTGCAATACACATGTTTTGGTGCGTGCCTGGGATTTGTTATGCAACTCTTTTCGTGCATCTCTCTTGATCTATTAAACATTATTCATCACCCTTCCACCTTGAAAAATAACAGAAAGGCATAGGTACTCACCTTTTTTAAGGAGACACAGCGGCAGAAACAACAACTTTTCTTCCACTAGCTGATGAAAGCTCACAACAAACACCTTGAACGATCGACTAAATGGAACGGGGAGGCCTGAGTAGTCACGTGACAATTGAGCGAGCAAAGGTGCGGGATCACCCGCTCTCCGCGATTCCCAGCCCGCAAAAAACAAATGTCTGAGTGGTTGTTAGAAACATGAAAACCTTTCCATGATTCTACAGATCACATGCGCTCCCCGACTTCTATGGCGTTTCATTTCCGCCAAATTAAAAAAAAAAAATCAAATATGTAACTTAACATCCGAACTTAAAAGTTGTCAACATACATGTATACACATACACGTAACATCGAACTTTTAACCCCGTGTTTCACACAATTCCCAAACAGTACAACTGCAAACACCGGACTTTGTAACCCGACATCCAACTTTTTAGCAGTCAAAATCGGACTTTATTACTCGAATCCACCTTGACAGCTAACTTTAGCTTTCAACATCTAACTTTACATGTGTAAAGCTATCAAGTCCCACTTTCAAACGTGCTGAACTGTCCAAGCAGCCTCCATTTTTTTTTTCGCAGTCACCGAGCGTGACGTGAAAGATTGAAACGCACTTTCCGTGTCACGCTCGAGAGAAAACGTGGGGCTTCGCGTAGTCTTAACATGGCCTCGTCGACGTCACAAAATGGTGGACTTTGCCAAATGCCATGTCTTCGTCTTTGCAAAGTTCAATGCTAAGTATGGGTTTGCCGAATGACGTCCCTGTGATAAAAGCCAGCGGATGCCACATGATAGCTTGCAGTGTTACCAGGAATACATAAAGGAAGAGGAATTATTGGGTAGAAAAAAAATTACCTTGTTGCTCCAGGAAAATGAAGAGAGGTCATTGTTGATGAGGATCATGGATCAATGCCGACGCGGATGAAGTAAGAGAGTTACTCCTGAGGTAATCTAGTCTTAAGTTATTTTTAGGTCCGCTCCCGGCTTCGTAAATCCCAAGGAGGTCTGCAAGTGCAGTAAAAACCCACATATATAAGAACCTAGAATTTTCGACGTCAAGCTGAACAGGTACTTATATTTCAGGGTAGTTTTTCACAATTCAGGCTGATTAGCTTCTTATTTATTTTATAAGATATTTTGATTTTCAATCGTCTACACTGCACTGTAGCTTTACGAAAAACATATTTCTACCTAGAAAAAACAAAACCCAAAATAATGTAAATCAAAGGAAGCATGCACACAATAACTTTTTGTCAGAAGTTTCTCACACAATTTAAATTCAGAATTTCGACTAGCAAAATTGGAGTGATATTTTTGTATAAGAACCTATTTTTTCTTTGCTAGGCTGAACAGGTTCTTACATTTTTGGGTCAGGAAATGCCAAATTTCAGCCTGTAGGTTCTTAAATCACTAGGTTCTTATATGCGGGTTTGTGACGCAATGTTTACTCACGTGCACAACGGCTGGCGCAACGAGAGTGGTGACTGGAGAACATAATGCATCTAAATATAAGTTGTCAAGTCACCTGTGCTGTCACACATGAGCATAGCATAATCCGCCTCACAGGAATGACTATTTTCAGACCCTCCCAAGATTGTTGAAAAACTTTTGTAAGCAATTCTCATGACTTTAACAAACGTTCTTGTTAGGGGCCTTGTTACGCGGTGTGGCCTCATGGTTAGTGCGCACGTCTCCGGATCGAGCGGTCCGGATTCGAGCCCTGGCCGAAGACATTGCGTTGTGTTCTTGGGCAAGACACTTTACTCTCACAGTGCCTCTCTCCGGCCAGGTGTATAAATGGGTACCAGCGAATTTAATGCTTGGGGGTAACTCTGCGATGGACTAGCATCCCATCCAGGTGGGGGAAGAAATACTCCTTGTCGCTTCATGCTACAGAAACCGGGATAAGCTCCGGCCTGATGGACCACTTGGCACGTATGCAGACTTCACCTAACCTTGTAAGCAGCATGCTACTAATAGATTTTGAAAAAATAACAACGCTTTTCAGTTTTAAAAACATGTCTTGACTGTAACATCTGTCATCGTCACTTACAACTGGAGTGAATTTGAATATACAAGTTGATATGCAAGTTTTGTACAATGGCCGGGTTTTACCTATAATCAAGAGATTATAATTTCTCGCTAGAATATAACACGAATAAGATTCGTACAATTGAAAACAAAAGAACAAAATGGCAAATGCAGAAAAAACGCGCTGAAAAATTAAAATGAAAGAGATCAAATAACATGATGAATTTGCTGATTTGAAACACATAGCTTCCTTAATTTTTAGACCCCATCCACACTACACCAGAGGAACTGAATTTGAAAACGGAGGTTTCATTCTGAAAACGCATAAAATGTTTTCCGTCCACACTACACTGGAGGAATTTGAAAACCGAAGTTTCCATCTGAAAACGCATCAAATGTTTTCCGTCCACACTACACTGGAGGAATTTGAAAACGGAGGTTTCACTCTGAAAACGCATCAAATGTTTTCCGTCCACACTACACCGGAGGAATTTAAAAATGCAACAATCACCGGTCATTTTTCATTTGTGTTTGAAAAACACTCGGGCAGGCAAATCACATGATTGTTGTGAGGTCATCGTTTTAAAAAAGCTCCGTTTTTATAATGTTTTCTGTCCAAATGAAAACGAAAAGCAGGCGTTTTCAAATTCCTCCGGTTTGAAGAGCGTTTTCGAAAAGCTCCGTTTTCGTGAGGGATTAGTGTGGACGGTAGGCCTAACCGTAGAAATAAAGATGCGTTTCCAAATTCCTGCGGCGTGGTGTGAACGAGGCCTTACTTGAAACTTTGTGGCGGCAGAGTCCAAAATGGTGAAAGACTCTGCAGAACAAGAGTTACGAAATTCCTCTGAAGCCTAGTATAGATGAATAGTTGATTCCTGAGGGATTACACTACGCTCAGGAGGCGGTAAACTATACCGATGTGTTTGGGTTCATTTGTCTTACTGGCTGGGTGGAATAAACTGCAAATTTCCTGACGAACAGAAATAATCGAGACACGAGACAGTTCAAGAAACCTTACAAACAGCCACAATGAACTGGTGTTACAGGGACGGCGAAGCTGAGGGGCGCCGCCCCAATTTCAAGCCAAAAAGTTCATAAAATAACAATTTTACAAATATCTCCAGACTTCCTACAAGTTAGGCCCTCGCGCGCTCCGTTGTAAGACCCTCCCCCCCCCCCCCCCCCCCCCCCNCCCAATTCAAAATACCCTCCACCATCCCTGTGTTAATGGTGAAAAATACGGTAATTACAGGAACCCCGTTATTCCCGGGTTACCAACAGGTCACAAAAGATGACTGATTGAGCATTTGTTGGAGCCAGAATAAATTAAAGTGGCCCCTGAGTGGCCGTAGTAACGAAGTGGCTGTACAAAACATTGAACGGGGTGGACGAACTAGGACGGGTCTTCTCGACAACAATGTTGGAGAAGAAATCGTCAGCGATGGCTCCGTAGTGTTTGACTTGTTTCGGTTTCTGGCCTGTAATCGCTTTCAGATGGACTACTTGAAGTGTGTCTTTCTCACAAAAACAGCTAGCCAAGAAGAGAATTCGAAGGGACGAGACCCAGGGTTGCGTCCCGTGGGGTGTGGGCTGTTTGCCACACCTACCTACTTAATCAGGGGACTGGTACGAGGCAGTCACGTATGTATGCAATAATTTTGAAAGCGAAAGGAGCCGAAGAATTGCGGTTGTGCGATTTTGTGAAAATAATCTTCATCCATCTCACTCGTGGTTTCAAGTTTTCCAATATCACATACACAAAGTTATAAGGTATAGATTCGTTAACATTCAGAGCCGGCTCTTTTTGCAAATACTGGCTGAAAAAAGTCATAATTTTAACTTGTCGTATCGTCAGCAATGGCAGCAACGAAAACGGAAGCAGTACCATCCGCTTTGCGAAATGCGAGCAAGTAAGTTGACAAAATAGCTAACGACCAATCGTTAAACTAGTTCAATAGCCTCCGCCAAGGTGTATTTAATTCCTTTTGTATTTAAATTGTTTTGTCAGGGAAAGTCCTGATTCATGGAAGGCTAAACTGAAGGCTCCTGCGAAGGACAAACGCATAAGAACTACCGTACGTACTTGCTTACACTTAAAGCTTGCCTTGTTGTCGTTTGTTTGTTTCTACTGGGTTGCACTTCTGGAAGACTTCATTTTAACCCCTTAAAATCAAGTAGACCACACGTTGTATTTTTCGTCTTTCGTCTTCTTACATTTGGAAGAAGGAAGTCATTGTGACCAAATAGCAATTATGGCTGTGTATGTGGTCATAGCCACTAAACAATAAAGTATTGTACTTTGTGAACTTGGGAAGGCGAAGAAGCGCTCCAATTGGCACCTATCGACACGGAAGTTCTTTTTCGTCTGCTGGATGACCCCTATTCACTCGCAATTCGCTAATGTTTGTGAATTTGCCAACCTGTAATTTGACATGTCACGAAATACCAGCTTGTTTTCGTCTGTTCGAGGGAATTTTTTCTCCATGTTACCTATTTCTGGTTTATTATAGTGTAGATGCATTCGAAAAGGCCATATTGTTTCTCTTTCTTCCCTTGTCTATAGTTTATAAGCGGAAAACGAAAACGTTGTCGATATTAGAAAACAACCTTGTTTTGTTGGCTCCCTCGCTTGCATTTAAAAATGTCTGTTCGTGTAACGTTTTATTTCATAGTGGGTGAGGCAAAGCTTTCAAAGCAGGTTAGGGAAAGTCAGTCAACATCTGCAATAAAAAAATATTAGCATTTTCTTTTGCTAGTGAGTGTTACAAGCTTTCACTTGATGTAGGTTTGATGACACTTCAGCTTCAGTGATTAAATCCAGTTTCTGTAGCACAAAATTGTGTCTCCCCATTTACCAGTTGGCATTACAGAGGTAGGCACTGAGAGCTTTAACCCACTCTCCTCATTCTAGAATTACATTGTAACCTTCTCACCACCAGGCCACTATAACAGGGGTATCTGCAATGTAATCCAAGAGTTCAACATCTTTTACACTTAAGCCACTCCTGAAAGTTCTGTCTTGTTTGGGGTTTTCTATTTGGTTGAAAAAAGGTTCAGGGTCATTTTTAACCTCCAGTGTTCTTTCTCAAACAGGATGTCACAGCTACAAAAGGAAATGAATTTGAAGACTACCTTCTCAAAAGGGAATTACTCATGGGAATTTTTGAAAAAGGTTACGAAAAGCCCTCACCCATACAAGAAGAGAGCATTCCTATGGCTCTAGCAGGAAAACACATATTAGCCAGAGCAAAGAATGGTACTGGCAAAACTGCTGCCTATCTGATTCCCCTTTTGGAAAAGTGTGACAGAGAAAAACCACATATTCAAGGTAGGCAGATAATACGTTGAAGCATAGCAAGTGGTGTCCAGGGCTGAGACTGACTTTTATCATACAAGCCAAATGGCTAGTGCCAAAACAATGTAGCCAGATTTTCAATTAGTTGGTGTTTGGTACAGTATTTCATGTATTGCATGCCATACTACAGCTTCCAAGACCTGGGATTGAAACTATAAAACTGTTGATATTGTTAGGGGTTCAAAAGGTATTCAAAACTAGAAATTATGTGTTTTTTTCCCTGGTTTTTGAGACTAAAGTCAAAGCTTTCTTGCAGAGTTTTCTAAAGGTGCTTCCTAGTTTTCAGTATTTTGCAAAATATTTAGGATTTAATTTTAAATTCAATTTCCTATTTGCCACTTCTGGATACAGTATTGGATAATAATGTGCAATGTACATTTATCTTTTGAAAGCAGTGCAAGATTGCTGCCTCTAAGATAGTACCAAATGCCTTTCTACTGCATTTCATAGTTGTATTGCAGCTTTTGAGATACAGTGTAGCTACAACTTTTCTTTTCATCTAGTTATAAGTATAATAATTATTGTTCAATTTAGTCTTGAATTCTCTTGTCTTTTTTCAGGCCTTGTGTTGGTGCCTACACGTGAACTGGCTCTTCAAACGTCACAAATATGTAAAGAACTCGGTAAACACCTTGAAATACAAGTTATGGTTACTACAGGAGGAACAAGTCTCAAAGATGACATTATGAGACTTTATAGTGATGGTAATCAAAAATTACATACTGGTAATATATGTGCATTCAAAGGGCAAATGATCTTGTATCTCCTTATGAGTGTGGGTTTTCAATAAGGGCTGGCAGCTGATCAAACTCACTGGCTACTTGATATGATTTTGCCACCTGCTGTAGATGATTGAGAACTTACCTCGAACTTATTGAAAAGAATGAGAAACATTTAGTCACAGAACCTGAGCCTCTGAAAGGCCAAGATTTATTCATGAAACAAAAGAAACTGTGAAAGTGAGTAATTTTAGTAGTGATTTGTGTTTCATTGCTCTTTGTAAATAGAAAGAGAATGATGGTTCTGTTAAAGTAAACTAATTCTTGCTCAAGAATGCATGAAGTGCATTTAAGAGGTCCAAATTTATGAATTTTCCGGGGAAGCAGGCCCTTAGAAAGTCGTGCCTTTGGTGCAAAGGGTCCTTTCTTTGCCTACTCCTAAACTTTTGCCACCTACTCTGACTCTTTTTCAAAAACCCTGTGAGCAAAATGTGTGTACACACAATGACAGCCAGAAAGGTAAATACGAGACATGAACTTGGGAAGGTTCAGAACTGAACAACCAGCAACCCCAAGATTTCTCAAATTCATGTAGGGGTCAATTGAGATGATACAACTGTGTATTTAACATGCTTCTGAAAAGTGTTCGGCTACAACCTACAACTTAGGAGCAAAGTTTTAGATTTGATTTACACAAAACAATTTGTCTTGCACACTTGTTTTAAGCTTGTCCCATTGAGCAAAATCACTCCTGTGTCATCACCTAGTTTGAGATGAATAATTAAATCGTTTGTTGTTCATACAGAAAGGTGCCAGCTGACTGAGGGTATAAATAGCATGGATATTAAGCTTTCTAAATTGTAATTTCTCCACAGTTCACATAATTATTGCCACCCCTGGTCGTATACTAGATTTAATGAGAAAAGGAGTGGCTAAAATGGACCATTGTCAAATGCTTGTCATGGATGAGGTTAGTGCTCATACTGTTCTATATATGAAAATTAGACAAAAGAAGACAATTTGCAGTATAGTTGAGTTGTAGATGTGAACTACCCTGAAAAATGGACACTTATTATCGAAAACTGTTGATAGATACAGAATGGAGAGCAACTAAATATGGAAAAATATGTGCAGTGCTTCATAGGAGGAATTATTTTCACCAAATGCAATTTAAGTTATAAATTCATTACCTTAACATCTTTTAATTTATTTTGTTGTTTTTTTGTTCAATTCTATTGTATGTATTTACACTTCTGTACAAATTATGTTAGGTCCTAAAGTGCCAGACCATTGTGCATGCTGTGTGCCACACCATTTTCACTAAAAATAGGTGTCTAGTAAAAACTTCAAATGCCATAAGCTTTTTCACTTAAACTTTAGACATGTACACATTTTCTTCAATACAGTTAATTTTGCTGAGGTTGATATAATTTGATATCCATATCACATCACAGTAATGGGAAATTACATGTAGCACTCTCTCAAAAAACCCTCTACGAATCTCATGTGTCAAGAAAAGTCATTTGCGTTGTGCTGACATACTTGGTATGTCGTATAGGCACCTGACCGAGGGGCCAAAATCATAAGAAACTGAGCACATCATATATAAGCATTCAAGAGGTTAACTTGCCAAAATGTATGTTTTATAATTTAATTTGCTTATTTAATTTGTTGTCAACTATTTATTGAAAACAAATACATGTAGGATGTTCATGATGTGTTACTGAAGTCGTCTTGTCTGTTTCTAGGCTGATAAGCTGTTATCCATGGACTTCAAGGGAATGTTAGAAGACATAATAAGTTTCCTCCCTCCTAGCAGACAAATTCTTCTTTATTCTGCTACGTTTCCCATATCAGTAAAGGAATTCAAGGTCAGCCACAGCGTTAGTTTGTTTGGGAGTGTTGATGTAATACATCACCTTGAGAGAATGTTTAATTGTAGTATTTGTGGTTCAATTTTGCAGGACAAACATTTGGAAAAAGCTTATGAAATTAACCTCATGGAGGAGCTGACCTTGAAGGGAATCACTCAGGTAAGCAGTATCAATAGCAGTCTTTTTTTAGCCATTCCCCAAACCAAATGAGCAGTAAACATGTATCTCTCCTTCTGTCCTTTGGCCAGTTGAAAACTGTGCTTCTCCTTTGCATTCTATAATGGAAATAAATTCAGAATTATACAGGAGAGTGCACACAGTACAGAAATCCCTTTGTGTGGATTAATAAGTGAGAAAGTAAGTAAGTAAGTAAGTAGGTAACTTTTATTTAAACACAATAAGTAATTAAGCTTGCAGCTTGTGGGGTCGTGTGTAAATAAACGAAAGAATAATTACAAAATAAGAATTGAAAAATTTACAATGTAAGATCTAATATAGTTTAAATAAAAATTTGGAGCTAATAATAATTTACCTAGTTATTGACATTATGTGACTAATAAACGTATACAGATTGACAGATTAATATGTCTCATGTAATTTACTTTTCAGTATTATGTATTCCTTGAGGAGAGACAGAAAGTGCACTGTCTGAATACATTATTCTCCAAGGTATAGTTATAATCCATGTAGCGGTAAATGTAGATTCAGAAAGAAAGCCGGTTGAAGTGTTCTGATACTTTTCTTCTAAGCAGAGCATGACCTGTAAGATTTTTAAAGAGGCACCACTTTACTCTTTTTCCCAAGTTTGGTTAAAAAAAAATTGTCTTTGGTTATGGCAGCCTGAATGATCACAGTGTGGAGTGCAAGTATAAAAAACAGATGTAAAGTTCTCCCATTTTCTTTGTTCAACCCCCTTGGTTATGTGCTAAAGGCAATGACATGTTCAAATAAGCTGTAAAAATCTTTAATGAGGTCTTTTTTATTTATTTGCAGCTTCAAGTGACTCAGTCAATAATATTTTGCAACTCAGTCCAACGTGTTGAATTGTTGGCCAAAAAGATTACAGAGCTGGGTTATTCCTGTTTCTTCATTCATGCAAGGATGGACCAGAGTCACCGAAACAGGGTGTTTCATGATTTCAGGCGAGGAGAGACAAGGACTCTGGTCTCTTCAGGTAATACTGCTTATTCCCTGTAAATAACAGCAGTTTAATAGAGAGTAACTGTGTGTGGTTACTACTGTTTGAACTTGAGGACATCCATTCCCACTGTTTCTGCACATTCTTACTGCACACATAATTCATGTCAGAATGTCACGCCACATCAAACATGCACACTAAGGAAGAAATATAAGCAAATACAGGGCTTGGTACCTGTTGCATCAAATTCACTTGCAGTTTACTGTGTTAAATGGGTGGTGACCTCCTCATTTCTTTTCATAGACCTTTTCCTTTAATCACAGATTTTCTCCATTTTGACAAAAAAATATCTGTATGTGATACAAATATTTTGCCTTTTCTGCTCTTGTATGTATTCTATTTCAAGGCTTATTGTACGTCAAGGAATGACATCACTTGCAAAAGTTTTCTTAACAGACTCAGTTTTGTTGAATTGGGTATGTTTACTTTATCTAAATCTCACTAAAATTGTAGCTTCTTTTACTGCTGATAGTTGTAAGCTAAGATCGTTTTGAAATAACGAAAGCTTCTACAATCCTTGGTGAATATACCATGTCTATTCATTGACAAGGAATTTGCTTTTTAACGTGTGTGGTTACTAAATAATTTTAAGATTGAAGTGTAGGTGCATGTTATTTTCGTTATCTATAGCTACAGCTCATTCTGGTCACTGATTTTTTCTTTTTTAGATTTATTCACTCGTGGAATTGACATTCAGTCAGTCAATGTTGTGATCAACTTTGACTTTCCCAAAAATTCGGAGACGTATTTGCATCGCATTGGTCGTTCAGGTCGCTTTGGACATCTTGGTCTTGCTATAAATCTTCTCACTCGTGATGACAGGTTTGAGTTGTACAAGATTGAACAGGAGCTGGGTACAGAGATTAAACCTTTCCCAGTGGTTGTAGACAAAAAACTCTATGTGGCAGAGTTTCAGCAACAACCAGACGACGATGACTAAGTAGACAAATTCTGGTAGGAAAACTCTAAACATGTTTACACTAACAAGACAAGAACTGGCCAGAGAAATTTACAATAATTAATTGGAAGCAAGAGATAGTCCAAGATTGATTAAAGATACTTTTAGTGTTACATAAAATTAATTATTGTAAGTTTTAAAGCCCAAGCAATCAAGATTGTGCCAAGTAGTAGAGGAAATGGTTTTTTTTACAAGCGGTTTGGGACAAAGTTTCTGTAAAAGCTCAAACAAGGATTCCTTTTATTGTTGAAGTAATTGTAGTTGTTACAAGGGATATTCCTGCTACTGAGCACCAAACCTTGTTTCAGATAACTTGTTTTTGTATGGAGTATTTTCCTCATACTCTTTATAAAAACTTGAAACTATTTGGCATAAATTAAAAAAATTTGATGGATTCATAGTTAGTGAAGAAGGCCAAAGCATGTGTCATAAAAAGGTTTTTTAGTATGCACAGTTGCCTGCACTATATTTTGAGCATCATTGTAATAGGGATTTGAAACGCTTGGTATGTTGCTATGAACACTTGTCAAAAAACAGCACTTGTTAGCCAGACTGCAAATATTGAGTGAGTATAAAGGAAATCATTTCATTTGTTGTTAAGGACTTGCTTCCTTTCAGTGGTATTTGATGACTGTGCTAGGTGTTTTCAGGCCTGTATGCTAGACAAGTTTTATTCAGTGAAGAA